TCGTTTAAATCCGAGTCAGTAACAATTTAGTATTCCCCAGCGTTTTAGTCAATAGAAATCATCCGGTTGTGGTACCGGCTACTTAGTCTGTCGCGAACACCGAATCAAGTGGACTGGAAAACAGAAAGATGTGCAGGACTTCACACACTCCAGCGCAACATTAAATCTGTTCAAGTAGAAATAATATATACATTTTTGTAATAGTTGGAGTTGGCATGCGTGAAAATGTCTATAGGTAGACGTACATACCGGCATTTTGTACTGGGATGACCCGGCGTATTTTGTCTTACACTGTACGCACGAGATGTAATTACATTGTCTCGTGTATACAGGACTTTGCATTTCGGTGGTTGAATTGATCAGTTGTGTGCGTGTTACAAAGTCTGGGCCATTGTAGACCGCTGTGTACGTACACAGACATGGTTTGACTGTACGTAATTCGCTGTAGATATAGGGATAATAACTACCCTAGGGAGATTTATATACCACATGTGGAACCTGTGTCCGTACACACAGTGGCTAGGAGGAAAGTGTTACAGCGATGGATTTGTGTGTTAGGACGATATAAACAAGGTAAGCGTGCACAATAGTATACCATGTTCGTCCGTATTTCCCTTGTCCCCATCACCAGATAGTCCGACTGTGATATTAATACACAACATGTATCTGCCTAACTTTTCCCTGTCCCCATCACCAGATATTTCGACTGTGAATTGTAATACACAACATCTAACAGTCTAAATTCCCTCTGTCCTTATCACCTGATATTTCAACAGTGAGATGATAGTACACAGCATCTAGCTGTCTAGATGCTGGTGTTTTGGACATAGTTGGTTTAGTAAGTAGACTGCAGATTGATGTAGCCTTTCACATACTCAAGTCTCCAATTTTATAAGTTAGACATGGTATAGTGTTAACAGCCTCCGAATTGGGGTTACTGTTCGGTATATAAAACCCGTAGTCTGACAGGTAACAGTGCCATGATGGTTAAGTAGCGTACGGAGTCGCTATCCGCCTGCTGGGAGAGATTTATTGAAACAATAGTGATAACAGACCTGGCGGTTTGCTTCCGCCTGTAATAATACTACACTGGTATCTGGGTTTTCCTGCCTTTAGAACTGTGCTCACGTGCATATGGTATCCTATCTATACTAACGATAGTCACCCATGTGTACAATGATTGTCTGGTTTAGGATTTTAAAAAAAATATTTGTAGAAAATATAGCAGAGCACTTGTACCGGCTATATTTCATAACAGCCATTTTAAAACAAAGATCTTTACATTTCAAAGTGGATCATTCAGAATGGTTCATGTCTGTTTTCAGTATTGAGTATGAAACCTAGGACCAATTTACACAATCTAATTGTGACACGGTTAAATACCCTAAACTTGGAACGTGTGTTATTAGATAGGATCATTTGAGAAAAAAGACGTCTTTATATTTGTAGTCCGATTTTTAAAATTGAATATGAAACCAGATTAATGTGAATCTTTTTCAGAGGAAGCAGCATCAATATTCTGGAGCTCATTTTTTCAACATTAGATGCGAAATTAGAATGTTGAACTGAATCACTCGTAACACAAAATGTCAACAGAGACACGCGATCTATATCTGATATTACCGATTCCGTTTTCAGTGAAGGATATTAACACTGGAATTGATCGATAGTTAACAAACACGCTTGATTATAATCTGGAAATTATCCACAATGAATGTGAACAGGAAGAAGCTTTACGCTAAAGTGACAAAGCTGTTGTCTCACTTTAAACGTTGACTGTTGACCATAATTGGAAATGTGTCTTTTTTGTCACAGTTTCTTCTGAATATTTTTCATTTATTAACTCACTGACAAGACCCCGAAGCCGAACGCTTCCTCGATACTCCAACGGTTACGATCACTTTTGCTCTTTGAACCCCTGAAACATGACATGGCAAAATAGAAGATAGAAACGAAGTCATTTTATTGGTACAAAGAAGAAAAAAACTGACCAATAACAGGCTGATACGCTCCATTTAAAGATTACAAATGAGCAACATCGAGATTCGTTTGATGTACATCAAAGGTTTTAACTAGTCTTCTCGTCTAGCCCACAAGGTGTCGTACACGGGACCTTCATTTTCTCCATGACATGTTCCAAGGGTGCAGACAGAGGAAGTGATCATACGCCTGGAGTATCGAGGATGAGACGAATGCAGACTGTAGGCTTACCCCAAGAGGACATATGATATAAAAAGAAATGATGATAACAAATAGATAAATTTGGAAACATAAACTTATGTCCTGTCACACATGACGTCATATGATAATATTGTTTGTGTACGTAACATTATGTCCTGTCACACATGACGTCATATGATAATATTATTTGTGTACATAACATTATGTCCTCTCACACATGACGTCATATGATAATATTGATAATATTGTTTGTGTACGTAACATTATGTCCTGTCACACATGACGTCATATGATAATATTGTTTGTGTACGTAACATTATGTCCTGTCACACATGACGTCATATGATAATATTGTTTGTGTACGTAACATTATGTCCTGTCACACATGACGTCATATGATAATATTATTTGTGTACATAACATTATGTCCTGTCACACATGACGTCATATGATAATATTGTTTGTGTACGTAACATTATGTCCTGTCACACATGACGTCATATGATAATATTATTTGTGTACATAACATTATGTCCTCTCACACATGACGTCATATGATAATATTGTTTGTGTACGTAACATTATGTCCTGTCACACATGACGTCATATGATAATATTGTTTGTGTACGTAACATTATGTCCTGTCACACATGACGTCATATGATAATATTGTTTGTGTACGTAACATTATGTCCTGTCACACATGACGTCATATGATAATATTATTTGTGTACGTAAACCTATGTCCTGAAACACATGGCGTCATATGTCACTAGTGTTGGTGTACGTAAATGCATTTTCTGTCACATGACGTCACATGTTACTCCTCGTTGATTACGTAAATGTATGTCCTGTTACACATGTTACTGCTGTTAACATAAATGTGCTGTCAAAGAATTTAAAACATGACTATGTACAGACGGCTTTATTTTCAAAGTGACAAAGGAGTCATTAACATATTGAACTATCAGGGTCTGATGACAACCAACAGAACTCACTATAATTGTCCGGTAGACTATGAGGTGATAGATTGAATTGTCACCTTTGTCCAACTTTTTATTACTTTTTATGTCGCTCAGTGTCATTCAAGTTTCAGTGCTAGCATACTGCTATCGAGCAAATAAACGTCGTTGAAATATTTAATAATGATGGAAACATGACAATGCTTTCTAACATACTGCATTAGTTTCAAGTATGATAATTAAGCGAAAAGGCCCTTCAGGCCTCTTGTTCGACTCTAATAAGAATGGTGTCATTTCTAGACCCAAACATTATACCGATATTGACAATTGAAATAGATTTACTTGATCATGTTTTCAATCACGCCTAAAGCTGGCCATGTATATCGACGTGGTTGTGCACAATGATGTTCACAACAAAATCAATTAAATAAGCGGTTATCTGAGAGAGAATCTACCGAGCCTATACAATTCCGACAGCAGAAATAATCTATACCATTCTTTGATATACACGTTTTTACACATAAAAACGTGTTTGATATATTTTGCACAGTCACCAAAACCTTGGTCTGTGTTTGAAGTTAAACATGGTGAACTAGATTGTTTAGTTACATGACGACAACACTAGGTAATCAGACGTGCAGCAACCACAACAGGGACCTGGCACTTCCAACCCTGACTCCGAATTGTGTACTTTCCTATAGCCCAATGATTGATTCCGTGCTGTGTGTAATTCCGAATGGCCCAATGATTGATTCCGTGTTGTGTATAATTCCGAATGGCCCAATGATTGATTCCGTGTTGTGTATATTATCTATATATGGCCCAATGATTGATTCCGTGTTGTGTGTAATTCCGAATGGCCCAATGATTGATTCCGTGTTGTGTATATTTCCCTATGGCCCAATGATTGATTCCGTGTTGTGTGTAATTCCGAATGGCCCAATGATTGATTCCGTGTTGTGTGTAATTCCGAATGGCCCAATGATTGATTCCGTGTTGTGTGTAATTCCGAATGGCCCAATGATTGATTCCGTGTTGTGTATATTTCCCTATGGCCCTATGATTGATTCCATGTTGTGTGTAATTCGGAATGGCCCAATGATTGATTCCGTGTTGTGTATATTAACTATATATGGCCAAATGATTGATTCCGTGTTGTGTATAATTCCGAATGGCCCAATGATTGATTCCGTGTTGTGTGTAATTCCGAATGGCCCAATGATTGATTCCGTGTTGTGTGTAATTCCGAATGGCCCAATGATTGATTCCGTGTTGTGTATATTAACTATATATGGCCCAATGATTGATTCCGTGTTGTGTGTAATTCCGAATGGCCCAATGATTGATTCCGTGTTGTGTGTAATTCCGAATGGCCCAATGATTGATTCCGTGTTGTGTATATTTCCCTATGGCCCAATGATTGATTCCGTGTTGTGTGTAATTCGGAATGGCCCAATGATTGATTCCGTGTTGTGTATATTAACTATATATGGCCCAATGATTGATTCCGTGTTGTGTGTAATTCCGAATGACCCAATGATTGATTCCGTGTTGTGTGTAATTCCGAATGGCCCAATGATTGATTCCGTGTTGTGTATATTAACTATACATGGCCCAATGATTGATTCCGTGTTGTGTGTAATTCCGAATGGCCCAATGATTGATTCCGTGTTGTGTGTAACTCCGAATGACCCAATGATTGATTCCGTGTTGTGTGTAATTCCGAATGACCCAATGATTGATTCCGTGTTGTGTATATTTCCCTATGGCCCAATGATTGATTCCGTGTTGTGTGTAATTCCGAATGGCCCAATGATTGATTCCGTGTTGTGTGTAATTCCGAATGGCCCAATGATTGATTCCGTGTTGTGTATATTAACTATATATGGCCCAATGATTGATTCCGTGTTGTGTGTAATTCCGAATGGCCCAATGATTGATTCCGTGTTGTGTGTAATTCCGAATGGCCCAATGATTGATTCCGTGTTGTGTTTATTTCCTGTGTCAAGCGGTTGATTCCGTAATAAATATATTTTCCCGTGGTCTAACGTTTGACTTGATGTGGTGTGTAATATTCCTTTTGCCTAGGTGTTATGTATTAATTCTATGGTCTAGAAGCTTATTTACCATTTCAGATGATAGGATTCCACAGCCGCACGTTTGTATTTGTCAAATTGATTTTCCTACGTGTTTTCTGCTACATAGACATACACTTAGAGTATAATATGTGTATATTGCAGACAACTCCGATGAAATCACTTGTGACCAGCATGCTATTATGTGGTGACGAAAGTGTGGCGGTGGGATCATTGCACGACAAGCTTTTTAGTTTGTGTGTTGGTTCCGTTGTTGAATACCTTATTCTCATTTGAAAACGTGACATTACTTACTCGGATTGACCAAGATTTTACATGGCGGGAATCTTCGATGAAGCAGAAGACACTTCTGATTATGATTATTGTGACATATAGGTATTTTAGTCCACTATCATCAGATGTTGGGCTATTCAAATCGCCTTAGGTCCGTGGTCCGTCCGTCCGTAAACATTTTTTGTTATCGCTGTTTCTTGAGAGCTACAGCATAGATCTTTCTCAAATTTCATCGTTAGGTTTCCCTTGATCCCTTGTTGTGTCCTTTTGATTTTAGATCTGGTCAGAAAAATACAATGGCTTCCAGGCGACCATCTTTGATTTGACAGTTAAAGATTATCATCACTATTTTTGCAGAGGAATTTTCAGATTGCTTATATTTAGAAGCAAAAACAAAGAAGGGAAGAGAAAACAAGGGAAAGGATCCAACTTTCAAAGAACAAATAAAGATCAACAACGGTGGGCGCCAAGATCCCTCTGGGATTTCTGTTTTTTCAATTGTTTATGTTTGTTTTTTTGTTTGTTTGTTTGTTTGTTTTGAATTTAGATCAAATGCAATGCCATTATGTGTCTCTTCTTCAGATCAGACGTATGACACAGTATGGCTGGAAAAGTGTATTTCGACGTCGGCGGCACCAGGTTTACTACCACTTGGGACACGTTACAGAAGGTCCCGGGTTCGAAACTCGACAAGTTGTATGAACTTCATGAACAGCAGACGAAACCATCCGGAAAAGTAGAATACTTCTTCGATAGAAATCCTACAGTGTTTGGTTGCATACTTGACTATCACCGCACTGGGGATTTACACCTACCGGATAATGTTTGCGCAAGTCAAATCCGCCAGGAATTGGAATTCTGGGATATCTCTCCCCATGCAGTGTCGAGTTGCTGTTGGAAGATACTGTACAGTGACGAGGGGCTCGAAAAGACATTGAAACTGCTGGATAAAGAAATCCCAGTGTTCAGCACAGGGAAGAAATTCATTCAGAAAACGGAGGGAATTTCTTCTTTGATTAGAGATTTAATGGAATACCCCACATCCTCCATGTTGGCGAAGGTAATGTGTAGTAAACTGATCAGGTTACAGCGGGTACAATATTGGCTTCATTAAAAATAAAATAGCTTTAAAAATCAGCAAATTCATTATTGATTATTACTTTTTATAGCTTTGAAATTAATTCATTCAAATAGCAGCACGATCCAGAATACACAAATGTCCTTGACGTATTTTTAGATATATGTACATTATAAAATTCATTTTTATTATATATTGAATTATGACACTATTTCACCTTCCCATCTAGACTGGCATTTTGTGTGATTGATTTTGGTTACTCTCATAGGCTTCAGAATTTGGCCCTTAGCATCATTGACGAGTAATAGCAGAGCAAAACAGCTGTATGATGCAGTTTAATACATCATTTTGCTCTAATCCTCGAATTCCAAGTATGATGTGAATTAGAAATGTAGATTGACTTATTAATACAACTTATAACAATTTTATCGTTACAGGCATATGCAGCGTTCTACTTGACAATGGTTGTATTCTCCGTCATATGTGACGCTCTTGTCAGATCGCAAGATTATAAGGTATCATTTCAAAATGGCAGCGTTTCCGGTTCCGCTTCAGGTGCTCACCTGATGCCGTCTCTGTCGACCATCCCTTGTGCCGGTCTAGTAATAGAGGTACTGACCAACGCTGTATTTACTGTCGATGTAGTGGTACGATTTGCAGTGTCCGCCCCCAGGATTGATTTCCTCAAGAGTTTTATCAACATTTTGGATTTGTTGGCGCTGTTAGGCTTCTGGATTCTCGTGTTTACGGCACTGTTCTCGCCATTTTTTACCCCCGGAAGTGAAACAGACGCCCTCATGGTTGGTAATGTCCTGATGACGTTGAGATTCGTTAGGCTTTATCGACTTGCTAAGATCAACAGAGGACTAATGTTGGTCCTTCTTGCCTTGGAGAGAAGCAAAATGACAATTTTATTGCTTTTTGTTATTATGGTAATCAATTCGTGTATTTTTGGAGGAATTGTTTACTGTCTGGAGGACCTGAAGTTTACAAATGTGTTCCGAGCTTTCTATTGGGCGATTATCACCATGACAACTGTTGGGTATGGCGATTTTTACCCAAGCACTACAGGTGGACGGATAGTCGCCAGTATATGCGCTATGGCGGGGTTGTTTCTGTTGGCCATGCCAATAGGTATCATTTCCAAGAACTACTCATACTTATATACCAGATTAACCCACAGGGAACATCACAGTAAAGAAAAACGGAAATGCCGGAAAACCATAAAATTTAGCACCCTAGCTAACGGCGTCACCAGTTCAATGTCTTAAATTATAAGTGGAGAAAAGAAAACCTCTCCCTCTAAAACATTCTACAATAAGATGCTGTGATTATATCTTTTCTATATCGGTTCGTTATGTTTCCTGTCAGAGGATGGATAGGACGGTCTTGAGGGAGAGGGTTGTATTTTTTATGTGTAGTGAATACAGTGGTATCCTTGAACGAGGATTTGGATTCATAACACCTAATATAGACAGGAAAGTGAGAAATAGGTGGGAAATCGACAGTTTGTAAAAAACAATGTAAATCACTTATACAATTACCTTCCATATTACACACAAAGATCAATAATCATGTGTACCTTTTAATTATTCAATATATAATATACTTAGCTGCAGCCTTCTTACGTCTCTGATGAACTGCTGTGGTAATGTCTGTATCCTAGACAGTGCAATGTATAATGGAAGATCACACGTCAGACTCGTACAATGATTACTAATTACGAAGCACTGACAAGAAGTTTTAACACGCTGTCTGCAAGGTGCTTGTCTGTCTCGGAAACATTTTATAACCTATATGCAGTGATAAGTATTGTATGACAGCTGTACTAAAACGAGAGTTTAAGTATGAAATTCTTGACTAGGGAGATGGAGAGGGACATGAAAAACTACGACCTACATGTATATTTTTCACCGTTCGCTTCTATAAACCAGGAAGAATATTCACTCGGGCGTCTGTCTGTAATGTTGTACAAGTCAGTTTAAAGTACAGAAATGTCAAAAGTTCATACCGGAAAAAATATTTTACGGAACGGATGTTCGGTATAACGCACTTAAGATCTTAGTGTTTATAAGGAGAAGAGTAGAGTGAAGACTAAATCGCTGTAAGTGGCCTAGATAGGTCCTTTCTTTTCTCTGACTTCCCAAACCCATGATAAGACCACCACTACCAGCCAACCAATATCTAAGATTATATCGACTACAAGCTGTATTAAAGGATTGAAACCAAATTATCAGATTTAAAGTTGCTAAATTTCCACGTTTAAATAAGAAAACAGACTATTTAAATCGACTTTATTTCATCCTATTTTTTAACGTTTATTACTGGCCAAACGATAAAAGTGGTGATTTGTGATATCTGTAAGAAATTGCTGAGTGATGTCTGGAAGTAAAAGACACGAAACGATAAATGACTTTCAAAAAATCTAGAAAGTTCTTTTAATGCATTGTTAGGACTTGTATGGCATACTTAAAACTTCGTGGTCCTAACAGTACATATTGTCATTGGCACTTGTTTAAATCTTGCTCATAAAATCTTATTAACCATTTCAAGTACATATGGATTAAAAGATAAAAAAAAACCAGTCGAACTTCCTTATCTAGAAGTCAACAGGACCATGGGAAAACTTTTCCGAGAATCCGATAACAGTAAGTACGAATATTTGGTGTGAAGTTTTGCCGGACGGACGGAATGCTTCGACTTAAACGGGGTATTCGTGTTATACAATTTGGAGATAACGGATATGACAGTAATCAGAATTTAAGAGAAAATAGACGGTTTTACAGTATATTGAGAAAGTATACTTAAGTATTTTATAGTAACGTTACTGCTCTCTGTGATACAGTTTAATTAAATGTGCCCTTAAGATATATATATAACCATATTATTATACAAGCTTATTATTGTTAAACTCTTTGTTCATATATAGTACATCATCAAATCGTGTTACATTCTATGTACAATGTTTTATTTGCAGTTATGCTTGTATATTTAGTAAATTTACTATATTTGTCATAAGTGCGTTTGTTTTTATTTTATACCATATATGTTGTAAACCTATCTCTGATAAGACGATATATTTACCTTGTGAACATATTTCTGATATAAGAAGATATATTTACCTTGTACACATATTTCTGATATAAGATATATTTATCTTGCAAACATATTTCAGATATAAGACTATATATTTACCGTGTTAACATATTTCTGATATAAGACGATATATTACCTTGTAAACATATTTCTGATATAAGAAGATATATTTTACCTTGTAAACAAATTTCTGATATAAGGCGATATATTACCTTGTAAACATATTTCTGATATAAGACGACACGTTACCTTGTAAACATATTTCTGATATAAGAAGATATATTTACCTTGTACACATATTTCTGATATAAGATATATTTATCTTGCAAACATATTTCAGATATAAGGCGATATATTTACCGTGAAAACATATTTCTGATATAAGACGATATATTTACCTAGTAAACATATTTCTGATATAAGACGACACGTTACCTTGTAAACATATTTCTGATATAAGATGTATTTACCTTGTAAACATATTTCTGATATAAGACGACACGTTACCTTGTAAACATATTTCTGATATAAGATATATTTACCTTGTAAACATATTTCAGATATAAGACGACACGTTACCTTGTAAACATATTTCTGATATAAGACGATATATTTACCTTGTAAACATATTTCTGATATAAGAAGATATATTTACCTTGTAAACATATATCTGATATAAGACGATATATTTACCTTGTAAACATATTTCTGATATAAGGCGATATATTTACCGTGTAAACATATTTCTGATATAAGACTATATATTTACCTTGTAAACATATTTCAGATATAAGACGACACGTTACCTTGTAAACATATTTCTGATATAAGATGTATTTACCCTGTAAACATATTTCAGATATAAGACAACACGTTACCTTGTAAACATATTTCAGATATAAGACAACACGTTACCTTGTGAACATATTTCTGATATAAGACAACACGTTACCTTGTAAACATATTTCTGATATAAGAAGATATATTTACCTTGTAAACAAATTTCTGATATAAGGCGATATATTTACCTTGTAAACATATTTCTGATATAAGACGACACGTTACCTTGTGAACATATTTCTGATATAAGAAGATATATTTACCTTGTAAACATATTTCTGATATAAGACGATATATTTACTTTGTAAACATATTTCTGATATAAGACGATATATTTACCTTGTAAACATATTTCTGATATAAGAAGATATATTTACCTTGTAAACATATTTCTGATATAAAACAACACGTTACCTTGTAAACATATTTCTGATATAAGGCGATATATTTACCGTGTAAACATATTTCTGATATAAGAAGATATATTTACCTTGTAAACATATTTCTGATATAAGACAACACGTTACCTTGTAAACATATTTCTGATATAAGACGACACGTTACCTTGTAAACATATTTCTGATATAAGACAACACGTTACCTTGTAAACATATTTCTGATATAAGGCGATATATTTACCGTGTAAACATATTTCTGATATAAGACGATATATTTACCTTGTAAACATATTTCTGATATAAGATATATTTACCGTGTAAACATATTTCTGATATAAGACGATATATTTACCTACATATTTCTTGTAAACATATTTCTGTACAAGATATATATTTACCTTGTAAACATATTTCTGATATACATATTTCTGATATAAGATATTTCTGATATAAGACGACACGTTACCTTGTAAACATATTTCTGATATAAGACAACACGTTACCTTGTAAACATATTTCTGATATAAGACAACACGTTACCTTGTAAACATATTTCTGATATAAGACAACACGTTACCTTGTAAACATATTTCTGATATAAGACAACACGTTACCTTGTAAACATATTTCTGATATAAGACTATATATTTACCTTGTAAACATATTTCTGATATAAGACAACACGATATATTTACTTTGTAAACATATTTCTGATATAAGACATATATTTACTGTAAATATATTTCTGATATAAGATATATTTACCTTGTAAACATATTTCTGATATAAGACAACACGTTACCTTGTAAACATATTTCTGATATAAGACGATATATTTACCGTGTAAACATATTTCTGATATAAGACAACACGTTACCTTGTAAACATATTTCTGATATAAGACGATATATTTACAGTGTAAACATATTTCTGATATAAGAAGATATATTTACTTTGTAAATATATTTCTGATATAAGACGATATATTTAGTGTTAACATATTTCTGATATAAGACAACACGTTACCTTGTAAACATATTTCTGATAAAAGACGATATATTTACCGTGTAAACATATTTCTGATATAAGGCGATATATTTACCGTGTAAACATATTTCTGATATAAGACAACACGTTACCTTGTAAACATATTTCTGATATAAGACGATATATTTACCGTGTAAACATATTTCTGATATAAGACAACACGTTACCTTGTAAACATATTTCTGATATAAGACAACACGTTACCTTGTAAACATATTTCTATAAGATATATTTACAGTGTAAACATATTTCTGATATAAGACGATATATTTACCGTGTAAACATATTTATGATATAAGACAACACGTTACCTTGTAAACATATTTCTGATATAAGACAACACGTTACCTTGTAAACATATTTCTGATATAAGACAACACGTTACCTTGTAAACATATTTCTGATATAAGATATAAGACAACACGTTACCTTGTAAACATATTTCTGATATAAGACATATATTTACCGTGTATATTTATGATTACCTTGTAAACATATTTCTGATATAAGATATATTTACACGTGTAAACATATTTCTGATATAAGACGATATATTTACATTGTAAACATATTTCTATAAGATATATTTACAGTGTAAACATATTTCTGATATAAGACGATATATTTACATTGTAAACATATTTCTGATATAAGACGATATATTTACCGTGTAAACATATTTATGATATAAGACAACACGTTACCTTGTAAACATATTTCTGATATAAGACGATATATTTACCGTGTAAACATATTTCTGATATAAGACATATATTCTGATATATATAAGAAGATATATTTACCTTGTAAACATATTTCTGATATAAGACGATATATTTACCTTGTAAACATATTTCTGATATAAGACGACACGTGTTTTAAGTTTGACGTCAGCTGCTGAGATCTATTCCGGAAGTTCTAAAATAACGAACCTACTACAACAGATAAAATAAAAATAACGAAGTTGATGTAAGCAGGGTTGCTACTTAAACGTTGAATATGTCGGTAAGTGAAATTGAAGGGATGAAGCTCTTCGATAAATTCACATTCCTATAAAAACAAATAAGCCATTTGCAATGCTTATGCTGATCTTTTGTTTTTAATTCAATGAAGATATTGTTTTCTTGTTTTCAATATCAATAGGGAAATTGATTTTTTCCTACAACGAAATTAGCATGGACTGCTTTCCATCAAGATGTATGGAAAGCGTAATTATTTTTATTTCTCCGTTGTGAATTTTCCATTTCTGGATATCAACAGACGGCCTTCCGCAACCAATGGTGTATACATGCCGCAGTGACCTGCTCCCATTATCGTAATTTTCCAGCGAGTAATCGTTATTTGACAGACAAACTTGTAACACGAGGTTTCAAAAGATGAAGTTGGATAAAATTATGTAGAAGTTTTACGGTCGTCCTAGTGATCTCAGTGAGAAATATTCTATCTCTTTGTGCGACATAAAGCTGGGCTATTTGACGCTCGTTAGCTTGTCTGTTGATTACATTGTTTTATACTTTATTTTCATTTGAGAACATGTCATCACTTACTTTGATTGACCAAGATTTACATAGTAAGGGTTGTCGATGAAACAGATTTTTTTTCTCTTCCGGAACACCCATTACAAACTCAACCTAAACATTATCCTGTCTGTTCACGGACGACTAGCCCAGCAAATAAATGCTTGATTGATGTATAATACTAACAATGGATAACCAGTTATGTTGTCTTCCATCTGATTGAACTCTGTGCTGTCCGAGGATGATAGAACACATTCTACAGTAGAACTGATCTATAGTCAGGATACGGGCGACACAACTATACTTATCGATATGTGACTATTCCTAGATCTTAACAGACATTTTACTACTGTCACTGTTTCGTTGATTCGTGGGTTTGTACATGTTTTATATACGTTATATATAACATGATAACAAGTAGAAAGGTAATCACGTCCCTATAGTATACTTGTTACCTTCCACATTTAATCTCCACATTTAATACTGCTTTAAATAGTGTGATGGTCATTGTTTTAATTTTAAACTGCAAACCTTTTGTACGGCAGTTTATAGAATTCCCTCAGTTGCCTCATATGTTTCAAAATTTAGGTCCTTTCCATCACAAGGACGGAAGAGCTTTATCATGCAGCTTAAATCACAAATCTACGTTGTCTACTTCCACTTATGTTTTTAAGGAAATCACTGTTCACTGGTTTATGAAATGTATTATCTGTCCGAGCCACGTCTGTCACTGTTATATCAGACTCTTCCTTATAACATGTGACCAGACTTGATATCCAGTAGTATATTTTAAGTTTTCCTGGTTAGACATTTTCTTAATTATGCACACGTCTGTTACTGATGACTCGATATCGTTCACAGCTCCGTCCTAGTTTTTTCCCCTGTGTAATATCCATATTTTACAAATGTTTCACAATGTCAATAGCTAGATTTGCCCTATATATAATTGTGTAATATGAAGTTGGGCGTATTCCATGCTCGTTTGTATATCTGGTGGTTCCGTTGTTGTTGACCTTGTTCTAGTTTAAGAACCTGATATTACGTAATTGAACTGACCAATATTTACATGGCCGTGACGTTGATGAAGCAAAATACGACCACACTTCCGGAACATTTGGTCTTATCATTCTTGTTCCGTGAAAATAATGTTTTTGCTCATATTTTGTCTTCATTCATCGAATTTGATTTTGATTGAAGATTACGTTGATATGTCAGTATTGTGTTGTTTTCCTCAGTTTTGAGGATAAGGAAAATAATACGTAGCTGGTAATGATATTACATTTTTCTATTAAAGACAGTATACTACAATACAAATTTCAATATTGCAATGTATCATACCAACTTTCTTTAACTTACGCACATGTTTGTTCTACAAAAATCGTTTACATATACTAAAATACAATATATCGTGATATCTTGTAATATAATTTCGAACATTGCAATATGAAAAGTGTTTACATTACCTACCAATATTAACACGGTTCTAATGGCGTGATTTATGTGTTTTGGAAATCACATCTGAACAAATAGATAGCGTGCAGCGCATTTGTCTATTTTGAATTTCAATATAGATTTTTTACATCTCGTGTATTGCTCTTAAATGTTAAGGCTCAGACTTGGATAAGGAATTGGTTAAACAATGTCGAATTTGTTATGTGAGTTTTCATGGTAACTTCATGTATACAATGTTTGTATCTTATACATGTACATGATTCTGTATCAAAATAACTTCATAGATAAGTTTTATTTTTCTTTCAGACAAGCACAACTGGTTTCAGGATGGGAGATAACTCAAACATAGATGCATCTCTTGTTATATTCTTCTTCTGTATGTTGTTAAAAAATGATTTTTCTAGACAATAATATTCATATTGATTCGGAAGAATACATTTAAAGAACTTACTGAATGAAATCTGTATGTACTGTTTGTCTGTGAACTAAGTAGAGTATGGGTAAATATGTATTATATATGAGACTAGGAAATTTACTTATAAAGATGATATTGGTGAAAAATGTTTAAGACTGTTTAAAAAACATTTTTCTTTTCTCTGCTCTTACGTCTACTGATGTAAGAAAGTCTGAACAAAACACTTCATTACAAACACGTTACTAGTACCTTAATTCATTTATTGTTGTAATGCAATGTCAACTTCACAAAAATATCTATATAGTGTATACAGCCTTAACCAGTATACTCTGTGGTCTACAAGAAACCCCTACTATTATATGTGTATTTTTTCACTGCAATAATTTGTGACTATTTTACACCTGTATCCCACTGTAGTTGACAAAGTGTTCAACACAGAGGTTTATTTTGATACGACTATGAATGAAATTGACTCGACACAAGTCTTACACAATATCTGTATATCCATAGCAACAAAGAAATAGAATCCTGCCTGTTTATTCTTAAATTTATACAGATGATAAATCCATATAACTTATAAACAATTATCAACACTACCTTTATATTCCAATAGCACTACAGAAATCTTGCTTTCTTGTTCAGCAATTTTTCAGGTGTCGAGATTTAAAAAGGTATAAGGTTTCCACCTGAAAATGACATACGCAGAATTCATTCCTCTTCCGATCCTTTATACTGTCGTCTGTGTTTAATGCTATGTATGATTGTAGGCCGTTCTGGATACGCTGTCTTACCATCAAATAATGTATCTTCTTTACTATTAAATCTTATATAGTCTAAGTTCATATGTAAGTTTTGAGGCAGGTCTAATTTGGATATGTCCTCCAGAGCACTTGTCCCTCGGACTTCAGTGCTGAAGTGGTCGACAACATCTTCCACTTTATCCAGGTGTGTCAGCACCATGTTTGGTATGTTGTGATCAAATTCCTTTATCGTTTTGGTTAGAAACTGAAAGAAGAATAAACTGTATGAATTTTATGAATATTGAGTTAGATAATAAACCTTTCTCTTCTTTATTTTTTGACTATTCAGACTGATAAAGTACATACTGTTAAGGAAGAAATATCTCCTTGCAAACTCAGATATACTTCAGAACAAGGTAACAGAAAAGTCCAAAACAACCCATAACACAGACACAAAATGAATATGTAGAAATCTACACTACCAAAGACTTGCCAACTCATTGGAAAATGTCAAGCTCTCTGGATATAGGCAGGGAGGGTTTTATAATGTATATACGGAGGGATGGTATTGTAATGGATATAGGGAGGGAGGGTATTATAACTGTTAAAGGGAGGGAGGGTATTAAAATGGATATACAGAGGGAGGTTATTATAATGGATATACAGAGGGAGGGTATTGTAATGGATAAAGGGAGGGAGGGTATTAAAATGGATATAGGGAGGGAGGGTATTATAATGGAAACAGGGAGGAAGGGTATTATAATGAAAATAGGGAGGAAGGGTACTATAATTGATATATGGAGGGAGGGTATTATAATGGATATAGGGAGGGATTATTCAGATAACTGCCAGCTTCTAAATATATCATTTAACTTATCTCCCTTTCAATTGAAAAGAAACTAGTCTCATTTTTTCTGTACCAATTTAAGATTCAAGACACCATGTGGTCATATTTTCTCATCTGATGAAAGATAGGGATGGTGAATTACCAAGGCTGGTTTAGGACAACATCAGCAACATCTGCTTTACTAAAGAAGCAAACAAGTTTTAAACTTATCATTAATGTCAAGCCTCATTTACACTCGTTTTGAATTACTCAATCTGATTTATATCTAAACTTATCATGATTCAAATCTTCAATATGACCTGTGACAAGAAGGCATTGCATAATCGTTTGAAAGTCATAATAACAATCATCTCAATATGTATGATTAAGTCAGTCAAAAGCCTTGGTTTGGATAACATTGATAATTGCTATTGCTATAGACCGGAATAAATAATACATAGGATATGCTTAGAGAAGGAAAGAGGGAGTATTTACTTTGTAAATGATTCCTTGAACTTTGTCAGAGTGAAAACTTATAGGGTACACTAAACAAAAACGTAAGAGATCAGTAGTGTTTATAAAAGCTTTTTATATGGTGCCTAAACAAAGAATGTTGTAAATTTCGGTAAATCCAGCATCAATACAAACCTTATATTTGTTTATACGGTTTGTTAACAGTGTCTCTTTCCAGTTTTCATGCTCCCCAAAAATATTATCTGCAATTGCTTGTATCCTTTCCTCAACATCGTCTGGGGGAGTGTAGCATTTCTTTGTCTTCACACCACTGTAAATTAACCATAACCACTGTCAGTACACTTTATCAGAATTACAGAATTAGGATTCTGGTATCTGTCTATGTTTAAGGCATAAGATTTAGGATACTTCAGTGTAATGTATGTACACTGATAGGACAATTCTTATTTATTACACACTTATACACTTTCTTTTTTCTTCCATAATGGAAATATAATTTTCTCAAGTGTTTGTAACTTGATATGCATACATGCCAACTCTACCTTTTTAGATGAAAGACTGCAGATTTTGCTCCCTAATTTGACCTTTTTCAACAATTGAATTTAGAACAGAAGTTCTTATAACACAACCAGTAGAAGATTTGAGTGTGACATTTTGATAACTACAAGGTCATCTTCATCAGACAAATGAGCAATGTGGAGAGTAGAAGCACTGATTAGCATGTACAAGATGGTTAGGAATTCACCAACTATTTTGGCTTTACTATAATCCTAGGGTAATGAGATGGTCAACAGATTATAGAAAAAAAAATACATACAAGTTGGTAACAATGTATCGTAGTGGATTTGGATACATTTTGGTTAACATATCACAATCAAATCTTCTACTGGTTGTGTTATAAGAACTTTTATTGTACTGACATCACTAACCTGAAGAAAATGTTCCAAAATAATAAGATAATTTACTTAATTGTTCTAATTTTATAAAGTCTTACTTTTATTCAAATAAGACACCAAAAAATGCCATTTACAAGTGTTTACAAGGGTCTAAAAATACATTTATATTTTCAGTTTTGTGCATATCAAATTTTTTGAAATTATGAAAATTCAAGGTTTACACAAAATATATAGGAAACATCTTAATAATTTATTTCATAATCACTCATTTTTTGTATCAAGCCAACTTCAAGAGTAATGAAATATTTTAAGGAAACATGCAATTAAATGTGAAATTTATCATTAAGCAACACCAGAATTAGTACACTTTAAATGCAGCTCATTTATATTCACCACACAGGCTGGTCACCTACAGATTGCATCTCTGTCTGTACAGTATGTAACATAGCACAACAGGAACAATTAAGCTTTTACAGGAATGGAAATGTACATGTATACTGGAATTGTATATCAATGGTATTGCTTACAAAAATAAAATGAATTATTGCCAGAAAAATTATGATTTCACAAAACATATTTCATGGAAATTGTGTTACTTCATCTTAATTGTTATGTATATTATGGAAATAGGTTCTTACTATTTCATGAACTTCTGAAAGATTTACTGTATGAAGAGATAACTTAACTTTCACTACACCTGGTCTCACTGGGCATATGAAAATCTTTTTTTCACTATAATAAGAGGTTTTCAGTTTACTTTTCTGCTACATGTACCTTCTCTTTTTTAGGGACTGTAATCCATCTAAACTTGTGATAGGGGTTTTCCTTGCAAACTCAAACGTTTCATCCTCTAGCTCTTCTTCTGCTTCTTCAGATTTTGAAGATCCTTTCCAAAATTTCTTCAGAAAGCTTGCACTGCGGCATGGAACCTGGATCTAAATGTAAGACAGTTTACATGTATATCTAGTTATAGACTGTTCCACCCTAAGAAAGAACTTTAGTTACAGTTTCTCCCTATACCAATAGATGTCCCGTCTTGTAAATCCAAATCAATATCACAAAAATTAAGACAGACTGAAACAAAGATCTTATTTGTCGAATTATATATGTATGCCTGATTACTTGTTGTTTACCAAACAAAACAAAAGTATCACTGAATGCTCCCAAAAAACGATATTATTGGACACAAAATTTAAAAAAGGGCAATAACTTTGTAATCAAGGGGTCAAGGGGCCCTGATTTTGGTACACACCACATCAACTTAGCATATTCAAGTTCTGTGATCCTTGCTTAACTTAGGACAAAGTTATGTTCCGGGCACAAAATTTTATAGCAATGGGAAATTACTCTGTAATTGAGGGGTCAAGGACCCTGAACCTGGTAATATGCGCATTGTCTTAGTAAGCCAGATCAATGTATCCACCAAGTTTCATTATCCTAGCTTAAATACAAACAATCTAAAGTTGTGCTCTAAACACAAAATTTTAACAAAAGGGCAGTAACTCTTCAAATATGGAGTTGTGGGCCCGTAATTTGGTGCACTGCACATGACCTTAGTCAGGGTTTTCCATAATTTTGTTAGTAGTAGGCTGTGTAGTGAAAGTAGGAGGCTGGCCTGCCGTGTACATGTAGTCGTGTACGGAACATTACTACGGAACTGGATTGGTGTAGCGCCAAATGATCAAAGTAGCCTGTCAAATTGGCCGACGACCGGCTCTTATGGAAAACCCTGCTTAGTATTATCAATGTTTACACTTTAAGTTCCATTATCATTGCTTACATGCAAGCAAAGTTATGTTGTGGATACAAAAGTTCTACCAAGGGAGAGTGTTTTTCATTACTCCATATATATACCATTTCTCATATTTCCCAAGGACTGCACAACCAACTCCAAGACGACAAAATCCTGTCAACCACTGTAGACATAGACGTTTGATATCTTGACTCGAAAATCAGATTTATTATGATTTATAGTGATGGAATAATCCCTTTTGGGATTTCCCAATGTGACTCATTTATATCGGACGATGTCCCAAAAGATGGAATACAACAAACGCCTTGTGGTCAGTAAGTTACTGTGCTCCTCCTGCATATTGATGATAAATATATGCCAGAAGTGATTTCACAGCGACAAGATTATTGGGACACCGAAAGTGGTTTAGATATTTTGCTCGATTGACAGAGCCATAGATTTTCATGCCGGAGTTCAGAAGTCGGTGGTAATCGTGTTTTCTCTATGTGCATGTATATCTGTTTTCCCTACTGGAACCGAGCTCGACTTCAGTCACCATGTATGATGGCAAAATTAGCTTTATATAGCCATAATTTGATATGAACATACCTGTGTTCGATTACTTAACTGTAAGCTTCTTAAAACCGTGTAAATTGGACTACACGACAGTGTTCGCAAGGACGCTGCCATTTTTATTTTTAAAATCTGTGTCTTTTAAGCGTTTGATGCTGCTTTCTGCACGGGTAAAGCGTCCAAAAGACAATGATCTATAACATGTATCAGATACTAATATCGTGGGTTTGTAGATGAAGTAAACCATATCTTTATTGTAACCAGCCGTAAGATTACCCGTTATCGATCAATCGAGCCTGCACACGTGAATGATGTGACTCAACATTATGAATTCTTGGGTCCATCTAAAAAGCATCAACAACGTCAGCGAGGCTACAGGTACAGCCTCATCTGTCAAGGCCCTAATACCTAACTACATATATTTGTTCCGAAAGCAGGAACATAGTTTGTCATGGTCCCTCCGTTTTGGGCTATACATGAACCTGACTATTAAAATCAGCTTGCGTTCCCGGTTAATGAATTTTAAAGTTATAGTCACTGCAGTAATTGTAAATCATTGGATGGTTATACCATAACCTATCTAAACGATTTTTTTTAATGTTTTCACATTTTCCGCGCTAATCACATTTTCTGGTAGTCACAGGTCGACTACTCTACTTGTAAAGCAGTACTTCCTGATATCCATGTATGGTCATTGTTTGGCTACTTTTAATTGACGACCTCTATTTCTTCCCGGTGAACAATTTTCTATAAGTTTCGCAACGTAAATCCCTGTTATGTTAAGTTTCAATCTTATCACCTCTCATTCTGCGATATGTGAGTGTAGGTAATTTAAGCTTTTTAGTTGATCTTCATATAAAAAGTGTGACATGTTTAGCAGCATCTTGGTCGCTGTCCTTTGTACATTTTCCAATGAATCTATAACTCCTGTTTTAAAATGTGACTACACACTGTTACTATATTCTAGATGCGAAGTGACTTAAACAAAGATACAGAATGTACTATAATCAAAGTGTTTCATGGCCCTTGTATCAGTCCAACCCTTTGATTTGTCTTGTTCTGTTTAGAAGAGATATGCTGATTTGTCTTGTTCAGTTTAGAAGAGATATGACGATTTGCGTTGTTCAGTTTAGAAGAGATATGCTGATTTGCGTTGTTCAGTTTAGAAGAGATATGCTGATTTGCGTTGTTCAGTTTAGAAGAGATATGCTGATTTGCGTTGTTCAGTTTAGAAGAGATATGCTGATTTGCGTTGTTCAGTTTAGAAGAGATATGCTGATTTGTCTTGTTCAGTTTAGAAGAGATATGACGATTTGCGTTGTTCAGTTTAGAAGAGATATGCTGATTTGCGTTGTTCAGTTTAGAAGAGATATGCTGATTTGCGTTGTTCAGTTTAGAAGAGATATGCTGATTTGCGTTGTTCAGTTTAGAAGAGATATGCTGATTTGTGTTGTTCAGTTTAGAAGAGATATGCTTTTCAAAAGTTACGTTTGAGTCTATAATAACACCAAATTCCTTCTCTCACACAATTTCTAGCTGTGTGATTGATTCCTCATAATTTTAGTGGAGTAAGCTGTATTCATGACCTTTGATAAGTAGTCTAGTACTGTAATAATCAGACAGTCTAGTACTGTAATGATTTGAACATAAGGTTACAAAATGAGGATATTTGAATGAATTTTAGGTTTATTCAAGTCAAATGCTTTCCAGGAGTTATTGTACAGATTTAAAGTTTGTAAGAAAATACAAAAAAGATATAAAATCCTGTACCAATAATAAAATAAACGCCTTGTGATTGTTTACATGAATCAACATATAAAAAGAAATATAGATATGAAATTTGAGGTTGATCTTTTTAAATATAAATGTATGGAAAGGTTAATATATAAATATATGCACTTTTTTTGTCAACACTTACCAGCAGGTGTCCGGGAAGCAGTACCATGGAGATGCCATTGTGAGAGTGAAGAGTAAACACATGTTTGTATGAAGATGGATGTTTAATTGACTGCTAGACACATATGATTTGTTGGGAGTAAAAATCAGGATGTCTGTGATCACATTGCAACTTGGTCAGTGTGGGAATCAAGTTGGAGGACAACTCTTCCAGACTTTCATGGAGGATATTCTCATCAAACCCTCACAGACACAGGTAAACTCGTAGCCTGATAAATAAACTAGGTTCTGTACACATGTTAGAAATGAAAATGAATATTTATTTTACACAGTTAATTCTATACATGTGTAACAATTAATATAAGCATTGTGGAGCTTCTATTTTGATGCCACCTTCTGATATATGTTGAAGGAAATCAGGAGAAAACTAAATTCTATCAGTACAAGGAAACAATAAACCGAGGGGGCATCATCCCATTCTGTGACCAGTGTGTTTCAATTCTATGTTCTAGAGGAAAGTGGTCTGAAGCTCACACTTAAATATGCTTGTTTACATGTAATCAACATTAGTTAGACTGTTGATGTATACTAGTAGTCCTGACTATCAAGGCACGCTGATAGATATTACTTCCCATCTGCTGAAAGGAAGAAAGGCCATAATCCTGTTAGATTAATGATAAAGATAACACTAATTTTGGTAAAGAGCTCCATGTATTTCAAATATCATTTATATTTTATCATTATCAATGTTTATGGCTTTAGATAACAATTTGAACAGACCGTGTTTAACTCTTATTAACCTACAATGTTTATGTATACTGATCTGATATAAATTCAAGCCCAGTATGGGATATTAGGGGATGGTTTCATTTCTGTTCATTTTCCTAACTTGACACATATTTTGCATGTCCAAACAAGTATTCTTGTCTGTAACTAGCTTACATTTCTAGCTTTTAACTGTATATGTACCAATCTGTTACATTATCTTTCAGGATATCAGCTGCATCTATGATATTGCAACTAGAATTATAAAAATATATATCAGGTCATTGTAACTAGAATTGTAAAAATGTACATCAGATCATTGTAACTAGAATTGTAAAAATGTATATCAGGTCATTGTAACTAGAATTGTGAAAATATATATCAGGTCATTGAAACTAGAATTATAAAAATATATATCAGGTCATTGAAACTAGAATTATAAAAATACATATCAGGTCATTTTCCAACTTGTATACTTGGTATGCTACATGTGGTATGACATACATGTGAAGTGGATGTTTGATTCCTTTGAATGTTTTAGGTACCTCCTGATAAGAATCAGACCTACAAAGATGTTTGATTCCTTTGAATGTTTTAGGTATCTCCTGATAAGAATCAGGCCTACAAAGATGTTTGATTCCTTTGAATGTTTTAGGTACCTCCTGATAAGAATCAGGCCTACAAAGATGTTTGATTCCTTTGAATGTTTTAGGTACCTCCTGATAAGAATCAGGTCTACAAAGATGTTTGATTCCTTTGAATGTTTTAGGTACCTCCTGATAAGAATCAGGTCTACAAAGATGTTTGATTCCTTTGAATGTTTTAGGTACCTCCTGATAAGAATCAGGTCTACAAAGATGTTTGATTCCTTTGAATGTTTTAGGTACCTCCTGATAAGAATCAGGTCTACAAAGATGTTTGATTCCTTTGAATGTTTTAGGTACCTCCTGATAAGAATCAGGTCTACAAAGATGTTTGATTCCTTTGAATGTTTTAGGTACCTCCTGATAAGAATCAGGTCTACAAAGATGTTTGATTCCTTTGAATGTTTTAGGTACCTCCTGATAAGAATCAGGTCTACAAAGATGTTTGATTCCTTTGAATGTTTTAGGTACCTCCTGATAAGAATCAGGTCTACAAAGATGTTTGATTCCTTTGAATGTTTTAGGTACCTCCTGATAAGAATCAGGTCTACAAAGATGTTTGATTCTTTTGAATGTTTTAGGTACCTCCTGATAAGAATCAGGCCTACAAAGATGAGGTTTTGTCTCGATTTTTCTACAATGATCACATTAAAGAAAGTGTTCCTGAGGCAAGAGCAGTTATGGTTGACATGGAGCCCAAGGTATATTTTCAATGATAACATTAAAATATCAAAAATATTTTATTTAAATCTCAGTACCTAGATGAAACATTTTTAATATTTCAATCACCATATTCCATACAACAACTTAGGATGTTTTTTTTGTCCCTTGTAAAGGGCCTTCCGCATCAGTTGGCAGAGGGGATTATTGAGACACCTAAATTTGCATTACTGCTCTCAATTTTACTTTATAAATTTGTATTTGTTTTATGTTCTAAGTATGTGATGTGATTTACGAAGTAAATGTGTCATGATTAAGTGGCAGGTTGCCTCGAAAATTTGACAATTCACTTATCCATGCTGTCGTTATTACTTCATTGATCATATATCTATTCCAGTAATATGCATCCAACAAACATTTCTTTGTTAGAATCCAGTTCCAATACAGGACCATGTTTCCGTGGTAACTGAAAAAATGTGAAAAAATTAAATGTCTTCAATAGCTATAAAGCACAACTAGGGCACTAACCAATTATATACAGAAAGTTTTGTTGAGTCAAGTGCAACGGTTTTGAAGTTGTGGCCTGGAAAGGAAAGTAAACACTAATTTTGTGTTTTTGGCTATGTTTCCATGGTAACACAAAAAATTAAAAAAAAAAATGAAATGTTGTCAATAGCAAAAGACACAACAAGGGTACTAACTTAGTATATACAACAAGTTTGTGAAGTTGAGTTGAACCGTTTTGAAGTTATAGCCCGGATAAGTAATATGACGGACGGATGGATGCACAGATGGACGGAGACCAAATTAATATTCCCTGCAAATGCGATTAGCAGGGGATGATAAAACAACCTTTACCATTTGATGTTATTATTCTGAGTTAAATGCTCTACACATACATTGTAGTAGCTGTCAATACATAAGTGACACTTGTATGTACATCGTCTAACTTCTGTCTGGATATTTGGGTAACCATATTTTAATCTGTGTAAGAAGAATGGGACCCAACAGAATAGTTCTAAATCATGTAACCTATTTATGATTGAATAGGGTTAACTTATCTACTGAAAAAAGGGATGTTTTAGAATACTGTATTTTGACATGAATTGCACACCCAGTTTTTAGTGATAGATGAATGTTAATGTACATGTAACAGAGGTCATTTTTCATCTCAATGCCTCCGCTAGGAATCGAACCTGGAACCCCTGGCTTACTAGTCTGACGCTCAACCAATCGAGCTAAAGAGAATTTCTCCCTAGCCGAGTGGTATATTGCGGCTAGTATTTTACCAGGGTTACATACATATTTAAGGTTAAAATTTGATTTCTCATCTCACTAACACAATATTGAGACATTTAATTTTCTGCCTCCCGATAACCAGTCACTAAATAATATGCTGAAATTATGATCTTTATTTAATTCATATTGTGTTTTCTTTTATCTCAGTTTTGTGTCTCATCACTTTCCGTGTAGAAAGCTTTCCCTTTCACAGCTGATCAAGAGATCCGCTGTGTGTTTATGTAAGCACACATCTAGTAATCTAATGGTATGTTTAGATAATTGACAAGCCATGATATGCGATATGACACACAGATTCTCCTGAATGTTTTAGGTGATAGCCCAGACATGCAGTGATGCTAAGAAAACAGGCCAATGGATGTATCCTGCCAAACAGCAACTTTGTCAGCAGAAAGGATCTGGAAATAACTGGGCGCATGGCTATTGTATCCATGGCCACGGGCAGGAAGTCAAGGTCATGGAAATGGTCCAAAGAGAGGCTGAGAAATGTGATAATCTTTCAGGCTTCCTGTCTTTGATGAGTGTTGCTGGAGGTACAGGGTCTGGTGTTGGGGCTTACATAACAGAGTGTATCAAGGACGAGTTTCCTCATTCTTTTCTCCTCAATCAAGTGGTCCTTCCTTACAGGTACTTATCTAAAATCATTCTTTGTAGAAAATGTTGATTTCTCCTTCAAATACATTTACATCACAATCAAAGATAAACAAGGAATAACAGGCTTGATTTATACTTGAAATATATTAAGTGTAAAATTATTTTTTAAGAATTTGTTCAGAGATTGCACACACATCACCTATAAGAATACCTTTTGTCGTCTAAAACAAATGCTGTGAAGTTACCTTGAATAACTGTAGTACATTGTACCATTGCTACATTGTATCAATGAAAAATTCCATATCACTTTTAACCCATCTAAACTGTATTCAGCATTCTATGCTATTTGTTCAGGATATTTTATTGAGGGAACAGAACTATAAATATCTGTTGACAGTATGGGCGAGGTGATCGTACAGAACTATAATGCTGTGTTGACCCTGTCACATCTATACCGTACGGCAGATGCCCTCATTGTCATGGAAAATGACCACATCCAGAAGATCTGTTCACAGCTCCTAGACCTCAAGAAGATATCCTTCCGTGACATCAATAAAGTTATAACACACAAGCTGGCTAGTGTATTACAGCCAGTGTGTGTAGACAAATATCCTGGCTACTCCTGTCAGAACACCCTAGGTAAGTGAAAACACAAAAGCTAGCTAGTGTATTACAGCCAGTGTGTGTAGACAAATATCCTGGCTACTTCTGTCAGAACACACTAGGTAAGAGATATCACACAAGCTGGCTAGTGTGTTACAACCTGTATGTGTAGACAAATATCCTGGCTACTCCTGTCAGAACACACTAGGTAAATATATTTCTAGGGATATGTCAACTAGTTTTCTAACACACTAAACAAAGGCATCATTCTAAGTCATGAAAATGTGTGTATTATGTGATATAACCAGTCTTGACCTTTGATTTTCGTTAGCCATGACCTTGACCTTTGTTACAGGAGAGCTGATGGAGCACTTGGTCCCACACAGTGATTACAAACTGCTAACAGTGAAGAACATTCCCCAGATGTCTGAGGCAGCTATGACCTTCTCGTCCTACCAGTGGCATGGACTACTAAAACACCTGAGGCAGATGCTTATTGCTGATGCTGCCATGGAGGAAGGTCAGTAATTGTAACATCTTATGTAGTAAATAAATAGGTTTGATTTTCTTCTTCCTTACCTCAACCAATTGATAAATGGAGAAAGGTCATTAATGGTAGTATTCTGTAAAGTAAATAAATAGGTTTTATTTTGTTCAATTTTTGATCAAATAGGAATAGTACACAATTGACACACTCTGAAAAGAAAAAAAAACTTATATATGAAAATGAAATAAAAAGAACAAAAACTCTAATGATACGCTAATGTCTAAGCACCTTTTATAATATAAAAGTTGTACACAGCTTTTAGTAACTGATTTTTACTGACAATTTTGCATGATTTTTAAGCATTGTATGTAATTATAAAAAGATGATAATTATTACAAATGCTTCATACACATTATCCTGATAGAAAGCAGTATTTTCATGTACATGTATGTATCAGGATAATTTTTCTCTCGTCTGATCCAAAGGACATCCTTAAGTGTAGGGGAATCAACTTTGTGTAATAAGAGTATTGCCAAATTCTTTAAAATGCTTCTCCTGTAGGAATGTCAAGTTTCTGTACAGTTTTGGCCTGAAACATGCTTGGTAGAAGGGGACTAAATTTTGTATAACTGTTGGGTATGGCCCCTAGGGCAGGAAGGATGGGGCCCAATAGGGAAAATAGACGAAATTCCTTAAAATCCTTCTCTGTTGGTACGAATGCCGGGTTTCTGCTCAAATTTGGCTTGGAGCATACTTTGATAAAGGAGACTCAGTGTTGTGGAAATGGTAAGACTGATCCTGTGGGCAGAAAGTGAGAAACCGAATTCAGGAAATGGAAGAACGTCCTTTGAATCCTTCTGCTTCTGTAGGAATGATTGGATTTTTCCAAATTTGGTCTGGAATATTGTTGGATTAAGAGGACTCTTGTATAAATGGTTTGTCTCGGCCCCCTGTGGCCACAGGGCCAAAAATGGGAAATACATGATTCTTTAAAATCTCCTGTAGGATTAACAGGATTCTATCCCAGTTTGATCTGAAGCATTCTTGGGTGAAGGAGACTTGTATATAATTGGTTTAGCTGACTGGATAAGGGCAGAGTGGCAGGAGAAATAGTTTCAAACTGTTAGAATTCCTTTTTCTTTAGTTTGAATAAAATAATCAACAAAACAAAGACAGGTGAGTGATAGAGGCCCTAAGGGGTAACAATAATCTTTTATTAGAGATTTAATTCTAAAAACAAATTCATTTCAGGTATAAACTGGCAGGTGAAGTTAGGAGATGAAACACCACGCGGGAGTACCCGCCACAACCTGTCTCTTGCCAACTTTCTGGTGTTGCGTGGTAAGGATGTGGCAACAGCTGATACCTCTATGTTTACTGACTCTTCATTGTATGCCCCATGGGTACCCCCAGGTGCTTGTCTCCTCACTGGTGCTCAGCCTCGTCTTTTCAGCAACTACGAGAAGAGTGCCTCTTTAGTGTCAAACAGTCGGACACCAGTACGGACATTGGACCATATAGTGGATAAGGCATGGAGTATGTTCTCATCACGTGCCTATGTACATCAGTATGTACGCCATGGATTAGCAGAAGAGGACTTCTTAGATAGCTTTGTAACTTTGGAACAAGTAATAGCAAGCTATAGCAATTTATGACAGGAATATTTCATAGCCAGCTAGAGGAAGTTATAACAGGCATATTTCATAGCCAGCTAGAAGTTATAACAGGCATATTTCATAGCCAGCCAGAAGTTATAACAGGCATATTTCATAGCCAGCTAGAAGTTATAACAGGCTTATTTCATAGCCAGCTAGAAGTTATAACAGGCATATTGAATAGCCAGCTAGAAGTTATAACAGGCATATTTCACAGCCAGCCAGAAGTTATAATTGGCATATGTCATAGCCAGCTAGAAGAATTTATAACAGGCATATTTCATAGCCAGCCAGAATTTATAACAGGCATATTTCATAGCCAGCCAGAAGTTATAACTGGCATATTTCATACCCAGCTAGAAGAAGTTATAACAGGCATATTTCATAGCCAGCTAGAAGTTACAACTGGCATATTTCATAACCAGCCAGAAGTTATAACTGGCATATTTCATAACCAGCTACAACAATGATCATGATACTAATTCATTGTCTGTTACAACTGTTTACATGTATGACAGTCTGTAATAAATTGATTGACAAATTACATTTCATATTCAGTTAAAGATTGAAAAATATGACAGTGTTTTTGTCCTAGGTCCTAACCCATTATGATAACAATCACTAGCCGTATCCATTATAGTTACAAGTCAGAGACAGAAACATCTGCAGTAATGATCACTGATGCTGTGTCCCAGTTATACACAAGTTACAAGTCAGAGGCAGAAACATCTGCAGTAATGATCACTGATGCTGTGTCCCAGTTATACACAAGTTACAAGTCAGAGACAGAAACATCTGCAGTAATGATCACTGATGCTGTGTCCCAGTTATACACAAGTTACAAGTCAGAGGCAGAAACATCAGCAGTAATGATCACTGATGCTGTGTCCCAGTTATACACAAGTTACAAGTCAGAGGCAGAAACATCTGCAGTAATGATCACTGATGCTGTGTCCCAGTTATACACAAGTTACAAGTCAGAGACAGAAACATCTGCAGTAATGATCACTGATGCTGTGTCCCAGTTATACACAAGTTACAAGTCAGAGACAGAAACATCAGCAGTAATGGTCACTGATGCTGTGTCCCAGTTATACACAAGTTACAAGTCAGAGACAGAAACATCAGCAGTAATGGTCACTGATGCTGTGTCCCAGTTATACACAAGTTACAAGTCAGAGACAGAAACATCAGCAGTAATGGTCACTGATGCTGTGTCCCAGTTATACACAAGTTACAAGTCAGAGACAGAAACATCAGCAGTAATGGTCACTGATGCTGTGTCCCAGTTATACACAAGTTACAAGTCAGAGGCAGAAACATCTGCAGTAATGGTCACTGATGCTGTGTCCCAGTTATACACAAGTTACAAGTCAGAGACAGAAACATCAGCAGTAATGATCACTGATGCTGTGTCCCAGTTATACACAAGTTACAAGTCAGAGGCAGAAACATCAGCAGTAATGATCACTGATGCTGTGTCCCAGTTATACACAAGTTACAAGTCAGAGGCAGAAACATCTGCAGTAATGATCACTGATGCTGTGTCCCAGTTATACACAAGTTACAAGTCAGAGACAGAAACATCAGCAGTAATGATCACTGATGCTGTGTCCCAGTTATACACAAGTTACAAGTCAGAGACAGAAACATCAGCAGTAATGATCACTGATGCTGTGTCCCAGTTATACACAAGTTACAAGTCAGAGACAGAAACATCTGCAGTAATGGTCACTGATGCTGTGTCCCAGTTATACACAAGTTACAAGTCAGAGACAGAAACATCAGCAGTAAGGATCACTGATGCTGTGTCCCAGTTATACACAAGTTACAAGTCAGAGACAGAAACATCAGCAGTAATGATCACTGATGCTGTGTCCCAGTTATACACAAGTTACAAGTCAGAGGCAGAAGCATCTGCAGTAATGATCACTGATGCTGTGTCCCAGTTATACACAAGTTACAAGTCAGAGGCAGAAACATCTGCAGTAATGATCACTGATGCTGTGTCCCAGTTATACACAAGTTACAAGTCAGAGGCAGAAACATCTGCAGTAATGATCACTGATGCTGTGTCCCAGTTATACACAAGTTACAAGTCAGAGACAGAAACATCAGCAGTAATGATCACTGATGCTGTGTCCCAGTTATACACAAGTTACAAGTCAGAGACAGAAACATCAGCAGTAATGATCACTGATGCTGTGTCCCAGTTATACACAAGTTACAAGTCAGAGACAGAAACATCTGCAGTAATGGTCACTGATGCTGTGTCCCAGTTATACAAAAGTTACAAGTCAGAGACAGAAACATCAGCAGTAATGGTCACTGATGCTGTGTCCCAGTTATACACAAGTTACAAGTCAGAGACAGAAACATCAGCAGTAATGGTCACTGATGCTGTGTCCCAGTTATACACAAGTTACAAGTCAGAGACAGAAACATCAGCAGTAATGATCACTGATGCTGTGTCCCAGTTATACACAAGTTACAAGTCAGAGACAGAAACATCAGCAGTAATGATCACTGAAGCTGTGTCCCAGTTATACACAAGTTACAAGTCAGAGACAGAAACATCAGCAGTAATGGTCACTGATGCTGTGTCCCAGTTATACACAAGTTACAAGTCAGAGACAGAAACATCAGCAGTAAGGATCACTGATGCTGTGTCCCAGTTACACAGTAGTCTTGTAGTAAACTAAGTACTGGACACTTCAAGATCTGATGACCAGTGTTAACAATAAATGCCAGTGGTTTACATTATATTAGTCCAACACAAGTCCAACACTAGTCCAACACAGGATAGGGGGTAAAGTTTACTATAGTTTATATAGGAAAACTAGATTTTTGAGCATAATTTGTTTAATTTTCATTGGAAACATTTCAAACTCAATCAGAATTATGAGTGAAGGATGATGGTGTGATGGTATGCCCATATTGATCTAGACTGACCTCCAGGGACTGATGGGCAGGGCCAAAAAGGGTAAAATTGACCTAGATTTCAAAAATCTTCTTCTCAACACCCAGATATGGTAGAATCAAATGCTCTTCATGGATGGAATCATCTTTAGGTGCTTTAATTACCAAAATAAGTCTGGCATTTCTTCCTGAGAAGGAATAGTTTTTATAAGACTTTACTGTAATTTCATAGAAAAATTGCATTTTTGAGCATAACAGTTATTTCCGACTAGAAATAACTTTACAAGAATTGTTAGTATAGGATGACAGTTTTGATGGAATGCATGTATTGACACTGGTTTACTATATTCAGTGTCACAATTTCTTTTTCATGACACTTGATAACCTTTATATTCAAAATTGCTTATCTCAGGTGACCGTCAAGGCCACTAGGCCTCTTGTTTAAACATTACAGTCACAAGTTTTCAAGCTTCTAGTCAGTCACAACAAGGTCTGTTATACTATCACTGGCAGTCACATGCATTCATTCATTCATCCATGAGCTTTTGGCCAAACAGCCCGTCAGTATACCATGTTTACACACACAAGGTACATTGTTTATCTCAAATACAAGAAACAAGACAAAGAAAGTTAAGAATGGAGTAAGAATTCAATTTTTAACTTATTTTGACCCAACAATAACCTTATCTAGTTATTCCTTGGTATTCTCACACAGAGCAGTTTATTTAAACAAAGACGGGTTTCTCCATTAATATCTTTTGATGTAATATATTAGTATTTTATTAAATAAAATCTGTTTGATGTTTAGAATCGCTGCTGTCTGATCTTTGTTGTAATGAATCATGTCTTAATATGTAGAAAAAAAAGTATTTTTGATTATTTTGATATTGATGAGCAGTATTGCACAAATGAGTGATGGATATTACACAAATGAGGGATAGATATTACGCAAATGAGTGATGGATATTACACAAATGAGTGATAGATATTACACAAATGAGTGATGGATATTACGCAAATGAGTGATGAATATTGCACAAATGAGTGATGAATATTACACAAATGAGTGATGGATATTATGCAAATGAGTGATGGATATTACGCAAATGAGTGATGGATATTACACAAATGAGTGATGGATATTACACAAATGAGTGATGGATATTACACAAATGAGTGATGGATATTACACAAATGAGTGATGGATATTACGCAAATGAGTGATGGATATTACGCAAATGAGTGATGGATATTACACAAATGAGTGATGGATATTACACAAATGAGTGATGGATATTACACAAATGAGTGATGGATATTACACAAATGAGTGATGGATATTACGCAAATGAGTGATGGATATTACGCAAATGAGTGATGGATATTACACAAATGAGTGATGGATATTACGCAAATGAGTGATGGATATTACACAAATGAGTGATGGATATTACACAAATGAGTGATGGATATTACGCAAATGAGTGATGGATATTACACAAATGAGTGATGGATATTACACAAATGAGTGATGGATATTACACAAATGAGTGATGAATATTACACAAATGAGTGATGGATATTACACAAATGAGTGATGGATATTACACAAATGGAGAAAACTTATACAATGAAAACTAACATCAGAACAGGCCTAAAATATCAAAGGTATATTAAGTAGATTGAAATGAGTTGGGGTTTTTTTCTTTATTTTTTTTTAGAAACTAAGGGAAATGTTAAATCACCAGGTCTTGATGGTTTTTTCTTCATTATTTTTTTTCTAAATTTTCTGAATAAATCATGAGAAGAAGCACAACTTTGTGTTTTTCAGGGACAAGGCAGAATTAACTGCATCCAAAACAAAGAAATCAAGATTAGATTTAAGGTATTGGAGGCCATTATCTCTGTTAAACAGTTATTCCCCATCAGCCGTCATACATTTAAGAACGAATATCAACTTTTGGTGCGATATGGTTGGGGCGTTATGGATGTTTAACACCCCTCAGAGAACTAGTGATCACCATCTAACAAAACACATGCAAAACCAACTTGGAGATTCTGCATTGTTGGAAAAACATTAGATTCGGAAGAAAAAATAGGGACAGTCAGGAAACCGGAACAGATATATTTTCCCTAATAGTGGTCAATGTGATATCTCAAAACTCTACAGTATGTGTTTCTTCTTCTACTTAGTGGTAGCCGAGTCATCTTAAATATGTACACGAATAGCCGTGTGCAATTAAACCTCCCGTGGTAGTTAAACCGAGAGCTTAATGAAATACCTTCGGACAACTCGTCCTAGAACGATCTGAAGGAACCGAGAGCTTAATGAAATACCTTCGGACAACTCGTCCTAGAACGATCTGAAGGAACCGAGAGCTTAATGAAATACCTTCGGACAACTCGTCCTAGAACGATCTGAAGGAACCGAGAGCTTAATGAAATAACTCGTCCTAGAACGATCTGAAGGAACAAGCTCGAAATACCTTCGGACAACTCGTCCTAGAACGATCTGAAGGAACCGAGAGCTTAATGAAATACCTTCGGACAACTCGTCGTAGAACGATCTGAAGGAACATGTCCTTTGCTTTCTGATCCTGTCCGTATACCAGACTAATACCAACTCCATATAAGGAAACATACTCAGATGTCTTTTTCTGTATATAAAAATAATTGACAATGAATTCACCGATAATAAACTACAGAGAAATTAGAAGTGCCCTACAACTACTAAATCATGACAAACCTCGCGAGATTATATCAATCATCACATACTAACGATTATTTCAACATTATCTGTATCTTTCTAGAGTTGTCATTTAATGTGTTACTATTCCCTGGTATCTGACAGAATAAATCTACGTTTTCACTCATGCTTAGCA